GAGAGCTTGGGTTGTTATACTACTATCAGACAAAATAAACTTTATGTTAAAAAAAATTGCAAAAGAAGGATATTTATTATATTAGAAGGGCCAATTCACCAAGGAAACATAATAATCATAAACATATATGTCATAAAATTTTCAGCCCTAAAATACATCAAGTAAACTGACAAAATTTAAGGAAGAAATATACAGTTCTACAAAAACAGTTGGAGACTTTAATATCTGACTTTTTTTTTTTTTGAGACAGAGTCTCACTCTGTCACCCAGGCTGGAGTGTAATGGTGTGATCTTGGCTCACTGCAACCTCTGCCTCCCAGGTTCAAGTGATTCTCCTGCCTCAGCCTCCCAAGTAGCTGGATTACAGGTGACTGCCACCATGCCTGGCTATTTTTTTATTTTTAATAGAGATAGGGTTTTGCCTTGTTGGCCAGGCTGGTCTTGACCTCCCGACCTCAGGTGATCTGACCACCTTGGCCTCCCAAAGTGCTAGGATTATAGGCATGAGCCAACACACCCAGCCCTAATATACCACTTTTAACAATGAGTAGAAAACTAGACTGAAGATCACTAAGAAAATAAACGGAACAACACCATCAACCAATCAGACCTAGCAGACATACGTAGAACACTCCATCCAACAGCAGAAGAACACACATTTTTCTCAACTGCACATGGAACATTCTCAAGGATGGACAATATATTAGCCCAGAAGAGAAGAATTAATCAACTTTAAAAGACAGAAAATATACAAAGCATCGTATCTAGTCACATGAAATTAATTAACAGGAGAACTTTTTAAAAAATTACAAATTTTTCCATTGTTTGAAAAATTAGATTAGATGTGGTAACTCACACCTATAATCCCAGCACTCTGAGAAGCCAAGGTGGGTGGATCACCTGAGGTCGGGAGCTCAGGACCATTCTGGCCAACATGGTGAAACCCTGTTTGTTTGTAATAAAAATATAAAAATTAGCTGGGCATGGTGGCAGGCACCTGTAATCACAGCTACTTGGGAGGCTAAAGCATGAAAGTCACTTGAACCTGGGAGTCAGAGGGAGGTTGCTGTGAGCAGAGATGGCACCATTGCCCTCCAGCCTGGGTGACAGAGCGAGACTCTGTGTCAATAAAAAGAAAAGAAAAAAGAAAAGAAAAGTTAAACAACATACTCTTAACTAGCCAGTATATCAAAAGAGAAATCACAAGGGAAGTCAGAAATTATCTTGAGATAAAAGAAATAAAAAACCTAACATACCAAAAACTTACAGATTCAAGCAAATACAGTGCTAAGAAGGTAATTTACACACATACCATTTTAGCCCATTCAGGCTGCTATAACTGTCATAAACTGGGTGGGTTATAAACAACAGACATTATTAGAGTTTTGGAGGCTGGGAATTTAACATCAACGCACCAAAAAATTTAGTGTCTGGTGAGGGTTCATAGATAGACGTCTTGTGGCTTTAGCTGGGAGCAGTGGCTCATGCCTGTAGTCCCAGCACTTTGGGAGGCTGAGGTGGGTGGATCACCTGAGGTCAGGAGTTGGAGACCAGCCTGACCAATATGGTGAAACCCTGTCTCTACTAAAAATACAAAAATTCACTGGGCATGGTGGCAGGCGCCTGTACTCCCAACTACTCGGGAGGCTGAGACAGGAGAACTGCTTGAACCCAGGGGGCGGAGGTTGCAGTGAGCAAAGATCGTGCCATTGCACTCCAGCCTGGGCAAGAGGGAGACTTGATGTCAAAATAAAAATAAATAGAAATTTAGCTGTCTTGTTGTGGTCTCATATGGAGAATGAAACAAAGAAACTACTGAAGTCTCTATTTAAAGGGCACTAACATCGCTAATCAAGGAAATGCAAATGAAAACCACAATGAGATACAACCTTACTCCTGCAAGAACTGCCACAATGAAAAAGTTGAAAAACAGTGTCAGCTTGAATGTGAAGAGGGAACACTTTCACATGACTGGTGGGAATGTCAATTAGTACGACCAGCATGGAAAACAGCATGGAGAGTCCTTAAAGAAGTAAAAGTAGAACTACCATTTCATCCAGCAATCCCACTACTGGGTATCTACCCAAAGGAAAATAAGTAGTCACATGATAAAAGACACAAAGACACGTGCAAATGCATGTTTATAGCATAATTTGCAATTGCAAAGATATGGAACCAACCTAAGTGCCCATCAACGGATGAGTGCATACAGAAATTGTCCTGCATATACACCATGGGATTCTACTCAGCCATAAAAATGGATGAAATCATGTCTCTTGCAGCAACTTGGGTGGAGCTAGAGGCCATTATTCTAAGTAACTCAGAAATGGAAAACCAAAATATCGTATGTTCTGTCATTTTACTTGATGCCACTAAATTCTATGTTATATTTTACATAAATAAGGAGAAAAAACAAAGAACTTGCAATGGAGGCATACCAACATTTCATGTGCACATAGATATGGGTATACTCAGAGAAATAACACAAAGCAATATATTGACTTTCTTTAATCAGCTAGCTAGTTTGTAATTTATGTATTAGACCATCCATTTGTTCTCTTTTATCTGCTGCAATGCTTTCTTAAAAACATTAGATTTGCTCTTCTGCGGTGTGTTAGGACATGAACCCAGGTAAAGACAGAAGGTTGAGGCCTCATTTCACATGGCCCTATATTACTTTTCTGGGTGTTAAGATCATAAAAACACCATCAAAATTATAAGTTAAAGTGCACTGACTGAATTTTTAAAATAATGAGACATAAAAAAGATACATTTATGTTGAAACAAATGTTTTATAATTGTTGTAATCTTTCTGAGACACAGGGTCACGCTATGTTGCCCAGGCTGAAGTGAGACAGTGGCTATTCACTGGCACCATATTTCACACTACAGCCTTGAATTCCTGGGCTCAAGAAATCTTTCTGTCTCAACCTCTGGAGTAGCTGGGAGTACAGTTGTGCACCACTGCACCTGGCTTTTGGGATTTTCCCACAGTTGAAAAACAGCCAAACCCTAGAAAAATTTCTTAGTAAGTCAAGCATTATTGAACTGGTTTTTTTTCTTACCAACTCTTATCATTGATACACCTTGTCATTATTGAATTCACTTTGAGATCCTCAGAAACAGACTATTTCTATGAGTTACATCCCATGACAATGTTACCGATCTGGGCGATCCTTGGTTGTCTTTTTGGAAGAAAGAATTTACCCAAAAGACCAATTTGTAAACCAAAAAAAGTTTATTTGGGAAGTACAAGTACACTTCAGGAGAGGAGTGGTCTGGCCCTGCTGGAAACACCCCCATGACATTGTGCACTGTGATCTTCTGCTGCCTCAGTTCTTTCTTTACCCAGTTCGCACTGAAGTCTGGGGATCCTCCCTTACTGTGCTTAACACACATGCATGGGAACCAGTGATCAATACGAATCCTATCTAATAGTGACACTGCTTCTTACCGCCACCCCAGGAAGATAGGGCATTCAATTTTGTACCCGCTGTGCCTGCTCAGTTCTCAGAAATTCCCCTTTTGCCCTTATCCTTCCTTATCAGGATCTAGTTAACAACATTCTGACAGTTCAACCATGGAGTGAGTACTGGGCAAACGGAGAGGTGCTCCAGGGAGTTCTTTCCAACATGGATACCTCCCCCTCATGCCTGCTCACATCTGACTGTCTACCCTTACATTGCTTCCTCCAGGAGTTGGAACCCGGAAATCTTTTGGTAGATGGGGCAGAGGTCATTCTCTGTAGCTACTTCCTGCTGAAAGGGGCCATCAAGGGTCTTTGGGGTCCTTCCTCCTTGCTTGCTGTCATGGTGAGATGGTTTTGATGACTGTTGTTGTCTCTTGGAAGATCTGACTCGTGATGTCCAGAGGAGACCTTGGTTGTCCTCGAGGGAAAGAAAGAGGTTGATATCCCCACCACAAGATCATCTCAAATCTGATGGTTTCTAGGTGGGAGCAAATAAACTGAGAAGATTCAGAAAGCAAGGCTTAAAAAGGAGAAGGAAGATAGAGGCCAAGCGTCCCAGGAAACAGAAGAGCTATGAGAATGAAGACCAGGTGACACCCAGCAGAGCCAACACTTAGTAGCCCTTTATCAAAGGTGAGAGGCCTGGTGTATAAGATCTCTAATGTGCTGCTGGACCTGCACAGATTTGTTAACAGAAAAATACAAAAAGTATATTAGAAATCTGAAAACCAAAGGAAGAGATACTATAACTACCCTTTGACAAGTATTTCTCCATTCGCTATTTGAAGACAATGAGCTTGAGGTAGGAATCCTTGTCTTCTCTTGGATTCTATATTCTATTGAGACCTAACTGTCATTAAACTTCCCATTGCAAGGTGATTCTAGGACTGGTATCATAGTATAAGTGGCCAATAGGTCTGCCTCTTCACTAGAAGTTTGGTACTCAAATCTGCTAGAATTTCCTTCTGTGAAGATTGTGAAAAACAAATGCTAAGTGTTTACGCCCTAACCACTGTCTGCACAGAGTTCCATCTTTTTGTGAGCAACATCTCCGAGTTCTGTCTTGCTCGGAAGTCCACCTGCTCTAAGCTCAAGCTTGCTAGGGGCTCCCATCACTCGGAGCTCCTTCTTGCTCTGAGAACGATCTACTTGAAGCTCCAATGGCTCAGAGCAATGTTTGGAGTGCCAATCACTCTGAGCTCAATCTTCTTGTGAGCATCATCTTCTCTGAGCTCCACCTTACACCGAGCAACATCTGCTGCAATAGAGCTCCTTCTTGCTCCAAACTCTATCTGCTCCAAGCTCCTTCTTGCTCAGAGCTCCATCTGCTCCAAGTTCCATCCTGCTTGGAGCTTCAATCACTCCAAGCACTATCTTGCTCTGAGCACCATCTGCATAGACATTTACCTTACTTGGAGCTCCATCTAGTCAGAGATCCATCTACTCTGAGCTCCATCTTGCATGGAGTTCCAATCACTCTGAGCTCCATCTTGCTGGGAGCTCCAATCACTTCTAGCTCCATTTTGCTCTGAGCAGCATCTGGTTGGACCTCACCTTACTCTGAGCAACATGTGCTCTGAGCCCCAACTAACCTAGCAACATCTCTCCAAACTCCATTTTGCTTAGAGCTCCTTTCTGCTCAGCGCTCCTTTTTGCTCTGTCTGCTCCAAGCTGCATCTTGCGCAGAGCTGCAATTGCTCAGAGCAATGTTCAGAGTGCCAATCACTCCGCGCTCCCTCTCGCTCTGAGCACCATCTGCTCGGATCTCTACCTTATACCAGCAATACCTGCTCCAGGCTCCATCTTGCTTGGAGCTCCTTCTTGCTCAGAGGTCTATCTTGCAGGTCTATCTGATCTGAGCTCCATCTGGTTTGGAGCTCCCAACATTCCAAGCTCCATCTTGTTCTGAGCACCACCCACTTGAAGCTCCATTTGCTGCAAGCTCCATCGCTCTGAGCTCCGTCTCAAATCACTTCCAGTTCCATTGTGCTCTGAGCACCATCTGCTTCAAGCACCATCTCACTGTGAGCAACATGTTCTCTGAGTTCCCTCTTGCTCTGAGCACCATCTGCTCTGAGCTCCATCTGAAACCAAGCAACATTTGCTCCAAGCTCAATTTTGCATAGAGCTTCATCTGTTCCAAGCTCCATGTTGCTCAGAGATACATCTGCTCTGAGCGCCATCTTGCTGAGAGCGCCAATCACTGCCAGCTTCGTTTGCACTGAGCACTGTCTGCTCAAGCTCCATCTTGCTATGAGCAACATGTTTTCTGAGCTGAATTTTGCTCAGAGCTGCATCTGCTCCAAGCCCCATCGTGCTCAAAGCTCCAATCACTAAGAGCTCCATCTTGCTCCGAGCACATCTGCTCAGAGCTCCAATCTCTCAGAACAATCACCCTGAACTCCATCTTGCTCCGAGCACCATCCGCTCAGAGCTCCAATATCTCAGGGCAATCACCCTGAGCTCCATCTTGCTCCAGCACCATCCGCTCAGAGCTCCAATCTCTCAGGGCAATCACCCTGAG